GCAAGTGTCTTCATTTGCGAGCATTGATGATCTTAACGAAATCAGGTTTCAGCGAAGCTCCTCCGACCAAGAAACCATCTATGTCAGGCTTCTTGCCCAGCTCGACACAATTCTCAGCCGTGACCGATCCTAAAAATCACTATTTCAAATTCTGAGCAAAACCTGTTTTATGAAGGACAACGGATGGAACAACGACACAGACAACTGGATCAGAAATCAGAAAACAAATGTCACGCTTACAGCGTAACATCAAACATAACGAGAATAACGGCGCGCGTGTGGTACAGTGGCTAGAGGTGCTCTGTAAAACACATGCAGTCGACCAATTGATGATCGATGGTTCGGTCCCGTGCCCAAAACTCATCAATGCTCCCATCCCTCCGAGGCCGGTGAATTAGTACTAGAGTTGTCTGAGAGGATAGCAGTATTTGATACATCGGTAGTCCACAGCAAATATTTGCAAGAGCAAGATATGCATTTAATCACCTCTAACGATGCTTGGTGAATTCTAATGCACGGTGCACCTCTCAGTAACTCATCAATGCCGAGGGCTTTATCCTTTTTCATAATGGGAATAACACAACCATTTTGAATCCAACTAAGAGAAGCAGATACGTTAACAAGACATCTTACCTCCATATATGATACGAGTCTTTTCAGCTACATCCGCGGAAACCTTTTCCTTTAGGAACTCACGAATCCATAAGTGAACCTGTTATTGAGATAAGATTAGAACACAAAATGTTCTCGTCTCAGATTATCCTTAAAAAATGAGTAATACCTTCAACCAAATGATATTAAGGTACGACGGAGCTATTAGAAAATGATAAAACTTATGAAATCGGTGGCTAAAGATGTGACAATACAATAAACCTCTTGGGCTTGCTCAGGTGATGCGGTTTTGCCGGTTCCAATGGCCCACACCGGTTCGTAAGCGATTACGATGTTTGTCCAGTCGACGTTCTTGTCCACTAGAGCTTGCATTTGACGAAAGTTAACCTAAAACTTGTTGATTTGACATTTCAATAGTTGCACTACCGTGTCGAGAGCCTACAAAACCCAACCTCTTTCGTTTTTCCTGCCTCTCTCTCTTCTAGCTTTTCTCCGATACAGAAAATGACATTAACTTTATTCTCAAGTGCATGTACCGTCTTTTCAGCAATGAGCTGAAAATGAGATGAGATCAATGAACTGTCACATAAGCCTTGCAATGGGAGCAAGTTGACAGTAACTTTCAAATTCTAATAAAATTGGAGACCTGATCCGATTCGCCAAAGATATGTCGCCTCTCCGAATGTCCTAGGATCACCCATTCTATACCCAAGTCTTTCAGCATTGCTGGCGAAATTTCACCCGTGAACGCACCCTTTGCTACCTGAAAGAAATGTGTGCGAATGCTGGAAAGTACTGCAACACTCGCCCTCACTAGTAAATTGTACCTTTCTAAGTTGCCATTTAAAATGTGGTATAACGATATAATCAATCAAACACAATACTTGACTAAATTAGAGGAATACCTTATAACAATTCTGAGCAGAGATTTTAACGGAATTCTTCAACTGATCCTTGACATAAATGATGTACGGAGCAGGCGGAGCCACGATGACATCAACATCCGTTACGCCTGCATTTTTCGCATTACTTTATATATCAAAAGAGGTTAGTAATAGTATTAGTAGTAGTAGTAACAGTCGATGGGTGGCGTTTCGGTGACTTCGCCTTCTTCGAGGTCTAAAAGCATTTGGTGCACTGTCGATGCCTTTCATTCCGCTCCCAGGTCAGGTTACAAGATTAAACACAGAATGTGGCAAGATTCGCGTGATAGTGACGCCTTCACCTATAGGGTTTACCATAATTCATATCACTATGTATATCATTACCATGTATGACACGACGCCTTTTCTCCGCTTGATCTTGCAACCTGATCTGAAGGCGGTGTAGAAGGCATCGATGATACACTGACCTATACGAACAGCCTAACACAACGTACGCCGAGGCTCTCAAGAAGACGAAGTCGCCGAAATGTCAGCCACCAAGTTGCTATGACCACTGCTATTAGCAACCCTCCGTTGTTCACCTCGGACTAGTCAATAATGTATTGTTTTTTTTTTTCTGGTTAGCAAACACCGGATTGTCATCGCAACGGTTAACCGATTGAGCTCCGCGAACACAAACTGGGCGTGTCACATTACCACTTTTCGGTGCACGACCCGCAGCTATGTTCTGGGCTGGTCCGCATGCGGTCATGCAGCGAAAAGTAGTATTGTAGTCGGCGTAATCGGGGCAGAGGACGTGGAGTCGTCCTCAAGCCGGCGGACACGCCTCGTTTGAGTCCGCGGAAGTCAACCGGTTAATCATACGATCTAACGTTTTCGCGACTTACTTACTTTTCGAAGCTTGAAAGCACAAAGCTGACCACAATCCAGGCAGCCGAATATGTCGACAATCCCAAAAGATAGATCACGAGACCTACGATTCAATCACATTCCAGAAAACAACTTTTCTACGTACCCACCGCTTTTCTCGGATCTTCCACTGATTGTATCACATTTTGAACAACGGTGCACAGTTCACACTAAGTCCTTAGGTTATATGATAACAATTATGTCGTAACGAATGCAAAACATCGACAGAAAAAAAAGACGGTGCATCACGTGAAATTTCACTTGACGAGCACATTGGCATTTCCTTCCCCTACCACTCTTATTGTCGCGGCGTGTGATACTAAAGAGACGGGAGAAACCGTCGAAACTTACGTATAACACGCATGCAATAGTAAACCCTCGTAAGCGGGTTAATCAAACGAACAAAGGATAAAGGATATAGATCTCGGCGTTGATTAATCCGTGAGGGATGAGCCATTCATTCGTTCTTAATTTTCAACTTCGTCTGAGGGTTGCATGCATATCTGGCCTTTACAATGACTCGTGGTGGCCTCCCAGTGAAGTCAGTGCTGCTTATCCTTCCAAACAAGTCTGCGTCCAATCTGGTACCAATTTACCAACCCCAAATTGATGGATAGCTTGATAAACCACGAGCGTGAGATCGAATCACTGATCTCATGTGCGACGCAGAGCACCTCGAACCACTGCGCCACATACGCTTCAAAAAGCATAAGAAGATATATATTTAAGTTTTTAGGGTTTAATGTAACAATTTATTGATGTCAATATCTAGGGAAACTCGATTTTTTAAACATTGGCATCGACTACGGCGCATTTATATTTGCACAAAGATAATAAAGAAAGGCACAAAAAGACAATATTTATATTTGAGTCCTTAGGATTTCCATTAGAAGTCGGAACACAAATCTATTGCTTTTACTATGAATAAGAGATTCGTACCTCCACTCTGATTCAGGAAAGCACAGATCCCATCAATCGACTTCTGGTCGCCATTCATTTTCCAGTTGCCTCCGACGAAGAACTTGCGAGTCATTTCCTGAAAAGTACGCTCATTTCGACGTTAAGATATTATCATTTCAAAAGGCCGAAGTAAAGAGAAAGCCAAATGCACAACAACGAATGACCATCACTCGCATAGAACAGTGTTAGATTTTTCACATTAGTAGATCGAGATATTCTTAATTCAGGTTTTTGGCTAGAAGTTTGATATTTTTCAAGGGTCCGCCTATTTATATATATAGAGCAGTGAAGCTGAAAACAAAATCGGAAATAATTCCAAAAAAAGAATGTTTTTAGCCCAAACGAGTTTGGTACGCCAGGGCCATACACTGGTGTTTCGAAGGTTTCGGCCTCCTCCTCAGTGACCCACGACCCACATTAAGCCCTGCATTGTAGCAAGGAGGGAGGCGTATGTGGTGATGGCATAGTATACAATGACACTGGTCCATCACCACTGTTCAATCGATGGATTTCGGCTGGTAGACCAAAATCAATCCATAAGATCGACTGTTTTCAAAACCTCGTGATAAACATTCAAAATAATTACAAAAAAAAAGAAAAAGAAAGAAGAAAAGAAAAGGAAAAAAGAAAAAGAGAAAAGAACATTCCTTTTTTTTGGAATTATTTTGGAATGATTATCACGAGGTTTTGGGAACAGTTGATCTTATGGATTAATTTTGGTCTACCAGCCGAAATCCACCGAATGAAAAGTGGTGATGGACCAGGGTCATTGTACACTATGCCATCACCACATACGCCTCCCTCCTTGCTAAAATGCAGGGCTTAATGTGGGTCGTGGGTCACTGACGAGGAGGCCATAACCTCCAAAACACCGGTGTATGGCCCTAGCGTTCCAACCTCGTTTAGGCTCTAGACATTCTTTTTTTTGGAATTATTTTGAATGTTTATTGCGAGGTTTTGAAAACAGCCGATCTTATGAAACAATGGAAAATTAGCAAAACGATTGAATTGGATGAATGTGGATAGATGATGAAAAAAATGAAAAAATCAATTCTTAATCGGCGAAGACGATCAATGAAATCGGGAGAAAGCCATTACCAAGAATGAGTTGAAAAAAATAACTCGTAATAAGGAGCGGAGGGTTAGCGCAGTACTCAGAGATGCGGTGTGTCAGGACTAAACTGACAAGCAAGTTACTGGTTCGACCCCAACCCAACACTCTCGTGCTCAATCAATGAATGCCTCAATGAACGCCTTAGCTCAGGTTCCTGAGGATTGCAAGAAGTATCTCGACTAGCATTCGTCTCATTCCCCAATAAAACGAACTCCTCATGCATTAGACGAAACAACACGCAAAATGTTCGAAGAACATTGTGAAGGATCGATGTGAGGATATGAATCAACGCAAGAGGATGCCATAGATATGCACAATGAAATTCGATGATGGATCGTGTAAAGAAGAATAAAAAAAAAGACCTGGAAAGTGGGTAAATGAACTATTGAAAGTGAAAGTAAGTTGGACTGGCGACGCCACTATCGCAGCAGCGACGGGTGTAAAGAAATAAAAAAGGCCACAAAGATGAACAATGATCATATACATATACCGCCCAGTCATGTAGAGTCATGGCAAAACGGGCGTCAGTAGTGCAACGGGTTAGAGCAAGCACTACCGGATAGAGTGAGGTGCGGGTTCGAGTCTCGCTTGACGCAAAAGTTTTGCACATCACTCTATAAAGGATAAAGGATAAAGCTCTCGGCGTTGATCAATCCTTGAGGAATGCGCCATGCATTCGTCTTCAATTTCTAACTTCGTTTGAGGTGATTGAATGCATATCTGGTCCTAACGATGACTAGTGGAGGCCGCCCTTAGTGCTGCTTATCCTCCAAGACAAGTCTGAGACCTGTCTGGTACCAATTTACCGACCCCGGAGGAATGGATAGCTTGGTGAGCCATGAGCGCGAGATCGAACCACTGACCTCGTGTGCGACGCAGTGCACCTCTAACCACTTCACCAAATACGCTCACATACTATACCTCACTCTATATCATTGGGTATATCTCTGTAACATCATATCACAGCTAAAAGCGGTTAAATATAAAGAATTCTAGCTGATCATGCATGCTTACACTTTAACGCAGCATATGTCTCCCCAAATATTACTTTATCCCTCAGGATTCCTTTCTGTTACCCGGGAGCAAATAAAGAAACGATTTTTCTCGTTAAAAAGAACAAAAAAGTGTTGGCAATCATGCGAAAGCTTAAATCTCTAGCTACTGCGCTAAGTGCTGCTTTCTCAAAAAGACCCTTTTGTAACGCAGTAGCATTGAAAATAAAATTATGTTTCACACGCTCCGTGTGCTTTTATTATGAGGACGGTAGAAGCACGAATAGCGTATAAACGTGTAGGGCAGACCTTGCAATATCCGAGTCAAACTTCTCAACTGAAGTTTCTTCCGGAACGGAGAAAAATCCCAATTTTAATAACAAGAATCGCACTACATACGTGGATCCCTTAAGTGCGATCGATTGGTCACGCATCGATCTACGGCCACATCCACACACTAGCCGACAAGGAAATGCGCGGCATATGTGAAACTCTTATCGTATTTTCACTACTATACTGCAGTGACACAGTCTTTTCAGAAGCAAAGCACAGCGTTGGAATCGTCGAAACTTACGCTATCGAGTGGTTACTCATAATCCAAAGGAAGACATCTGTTTTGCGAGAAACGCGCGTGTGTGAAACGCAAAATTTTTCTTTCTACTCCAGCGCTGTAAAAGGGCGTTTTCAAAAACGAGAAACTATAAGAGCACCCCGAGATTTATGCTTTCGAATGATCACTAACACTTCTATGAATAGCTCTTATCCAGCGGAAGGGGTCGCTTTACCGTTATTTCCTTCTAACAGAAAACAACCTACCCTAGAAGCAGATCAACCCAGATTGAAAAAAAGCACTTAAGTATTCGGAAGTCTTCAAGATCTGAAGTGCAATTTGTGAATAAACGAAAAACGACATACATCTGTATCGACTGTTTAGTTGTAAGATCGAATTGCAAAGTGAATGGAACAATGGGGGACAGGGCAGTGCAGTAGTTAATCATGTGGCATATCAGGAAGGTGATGTGATATGGAAGGCACTGGTTCGATCCCCTCTCCAGCACTGCTTTGCGATCAATCAATGAACGCCTAAAGTATCGTCATTGCTCAGTTGGCCAGCACTGAGTCTGCAATGAGAGTCGTCTCGACCAGTTTTTTATGACATTTATAGAGTAGATGAAATCCTCAAGCAACAGCCGAAGTAACAACGAGGAAACGAATCAGTTGCAAGAGGTGTTGTTGGGATCAACACGGTATATTGTAATGACGGGTTGTGTAAACAAGTAAATCCTCATAGCACATTTTGATTCCTCTATGAGGTCTTTTATGGGGGATTTAAACAGTGCAATACACGTGTTTCAGCCTCGTCAGTTGCACAGTGCCCCTCGTCTATGCCGATCGCTCTCGTAGGAAAGCCTCCTCATATAGGGGAATCGTCGACGAAAACGGTACACCGTGTGTACAGTGAAAAATCACTTCTCCCACAGAGAACATATCACTGCATGTCTAGTCACATGATCACCAGACATTGCAGTGATAGGCAGTCGATTGCTCAAGGCTGGTATTTTTGATGATTAATACCTTTTTATAAGAGCGCTTGTGGCGCAATGGTTAGAGGTGCTCTGGGTCGCACATGAGGTCAATGGTTCGATCTCGCGCTCATGGCTCATCATGCCATCCATCCCTCCGGGGTCGGTAAATTGGTACCAGACTGGTTTCAGAATTGTCTGAGAGGATAAGCAGCACTGACTCGGTTCAGCGGGAGGTCACCGCGAGCCATTGTAAAGGCCAGATATGCATTCAATCACCTCAAACGAAGTTAGAAATTGAAGTCGAATGCATGGCGCATCCCTCAGGGATTGATCTACACCGAGAGCTTTATCCTTTTATTTTTTAAAACCTTCATATTCGACTATTTCTTAAAACCACGTTCAAAATTAATATATCCTGACAGTATAATTTAGGCTTTCATGAGGTCTTTTATAATCACTTACAACTAAGTAAACAAATAAGTAATGTAGTAAATAAATTCAAATCCATCAAAATGGTAGAAGCACGCAATAGATACGTTCTAATCGACTATTTTTAGAACCTCGCTTAAGATCAATATAGTCCAACAGGAAGTTTTGAGCCTTCCAAAGGACTGGTATGGCATCTGAACTGGCATCCGTACGGTTCGGCGAACTCGCACACCGCCTGTGTATCAAATGAGTTACGGCCCGCTCCCTCCTACTAGTTATCGCAGCTGCGCCGCAGATGTATCACTCCTCGTCAAGTGAAAAGACCAATTGATATTCTGGTTTGGAGCGATATGTTCAATCGATGGATGGCTTATGGCTGTTACCAGGCATGTAACAATACCTTTGAATCGACTAAATTTGAAACCTCACTCAAAACTTCAATACAGTTCAAAAGAATATTTTAAATCTTTCAGATGTCTAGTATTTCGCTTCCAGAAGTACACGTGCGTTTCAGCGTTCTCATAGTCGACTGAAAGGCACTGCTATATGCCCTGTAGCAGCCGTAAGCCATCGACTGAACAAATCACTCCAAATCATAACAACAGCAGATCTTTTCACTTGACGAGTAGTAGTACATCTGCGGCCTCGATTACCTATAATAGCAGAGATGAGTGTGAGGTACTGATGAGTCGTGCAAGTACGCCGAAACGTACGTATACCACTGGAAATGCTACACCAAACCTAAAACACGAATATGTGGCTTGTACAACCTCTTCTGACGGCCTACAGAGCCAGCGTTGATATCTTCCGGGGCAAGTCTGGTGCTAATTTTCCGAGCACCTTGGAGGGATGGGGAAAGGCTCGGTTAGTCGACGCTTGGGATCGAACTAATGATTGCTACCGTGAGGGTGGCACCTCTAACCAATGCGCCAATCCGCCGAAAAGGACAAGTTGTAAAGTGGAAATGAAAGTTCCACTAAATAAGAAGTCGATCGAAAACGTAAGAACCGCCCAACAGATCGCACTGTGATTGTGGAGACTACGACGCAAAATTGCAGACGTTCCCATTCATAAGCCGTATGAGTCATATGTGCCTCAGAGTGGCGGCAGAGTGCAGTGTTATGGGTTGTTCGCTTTCGTTTTCTTCGGAAAAGGTCCTCTCCTCTAGCCAGTTCTTTTATTCGTTTCGTGTTGTGAATTGGTGCAACTTCTTCGTTCAGGCCATTAATTGGATTCCTTGTGATTATAAGAGGACAGATGAAAAACTGATCTCATTCGCTGGAGAGGAACTTTTCATGGGAGTGTTGGTGACCATTCGAACCTGAGAGTTAAGGCTACAGCCCCATGCCGCCGCTTTCCCAAAAGGCTTATTTTGACGTTGCCGGAGGAGGAGATTTCTAGCGTTTCATACGCGCACATTTCTCGCCAGACAGAGCTCTTTCTTGAACTATCAGGACTCTATTGATCCATAGCATCGACTGTTTTTGAAACATCGCAGAAAACATTCAAAATAATTTTGAAAAAGAATGTTTCAAGCGTAAACGAGGTTGGTATACCAGGGCCATACACCGGTGTTTCGGAGGTTTCGGCCTTGTCAGGGGAGCGTATGTGGTGATGGCACTGTGTACAATGACACTGGTCCATCACCACCTCTCAGTCGATGGATTTTGGCTGGTAGAACATCCTTGCCTCCCTCCTTGCTAAAAGGCAGGGCTTATCGCGGAGCGGGGGTCACTGATGAGGAAGCCGATACCTCCGAAACACCGATGTATGGCCCTGACGTACCAACCTCGTTTACGCTTCAAGCATTCTTTTTTGGAATTATCAGGACTTTCAGTAATCATTCGATAGCGTAATCGCTGCTGATTCCAATATTGTGCTTATATCCAGAAAAGACCGTTTTTCTGCAATGCAGCAAGTAAAATAAGTTGGATTCGCGTGGGCGACCAAGGTAGTCTTTGGCGATTTCACGTGCCCGCGCTTGAGGCGGCCACCTTCGTTGGCGTGATGATCATCGATTTTTCGGGCATATGAACGCATAGTCGTCCCACGCGCGGGCACGTGAATTGGCCAAGGACCTGAATTGGCCCTTGGTCGTCCACGTGAATTCAACGTACATTAATACCTGCTGCGTTGCAGAGATTTGGGCTTTTCAGGATGTAGGCACATCGTTGGAATCAGCAACAACTACGCTATCGAATGATCACAAATAGTCCAAAAAAGGAGTTCTGTCCGGCGAGAAATATGAAAGTCTGCAATGCAAGAGAACTCCTTTGGTTCAAAAATAAAAAGAAGACTTTATGTACAACCGGCAGTGTGGGGCTGTAGCCTGAAGTCTGAGCTTTCCAATGCTTACTAACACTCCTATGAGGAGTTCCTCTCGAGCGAATAAAATCGGTTCTTCGTTTGTCCCCTCATAACCGATTAGTACCATTGATTGATTTCGTGTGCGGATGCAGCAGTTTTGATCCTTGATCTGCTGCGCGTGCATCTCACTTCATGAATATTTCGAGTGCTATTTCAAGCGTCACAACGTCGTGAATCTTCAGACAGTCCTCTCAGTGAGTCCCGAGGCTCTCATCATCCGTTGTGGATCGAAAGAAGAGGAAGAGAATCATATAGCAAAGCTCATCGTTCACTTGGTGTCAT